AAACACCCATATGTCATTAAAATTAACTGTGGAGTCTCACTATGGAATTCCTATGCCCCTGGCAGGTGATCACCCTCTCCGTTCCTCAGAAAGCAAGAGAAAATCAGCCCTAAAAAGATATAACATAATGGAAAGCATCTGCCTCATCTAAGTAAGCATGACATCACCACCAAAAAGAGAAGAGACATTAGATTTCCCCATCCTTCAGTCAACAATGTGTGTATCCACACTATGAACTATGAAGTAGAAATTCACTATAACTCTGGATCAGGATATATGGCTTTGGCTAACAAGCACACATATACATACCTCTATGCACACATATACACAGACATACTGAGATATGCATATAATAAGAGAAAAGTTAAATTCCAATGACACCATTTTTGTAAAGGCTAAATTCTAATCCCAAAATTATAGCTGATACTACATACAGTATTTATCTTTTTTTAATATTTTTTATTTTTTTAAATTTATTTATTTATTTATTAAAGATTTCTGTCTCTTCCCCGCCACCGCCTCCCATTTCCCTCCCCCTCCCCCAGTCAACTGATTGGGGGACAGTAGTTATCTTATACATGGTAGAATGAGCATATTTGTGTTTGAGGTCGCTAAATGAGCATCATTGTAAAAATCCAACATTTCAGTATTATAAATGAATAGACATTTTATGAAGTGTCCAGTTGGAGTAGGAACTGAAGGGGCAGGAGGTGAGGGAGTGTCGCAGCTTGTTCAGTCTGTCTCTAGTTGTGGTACTGTGGACATGACCGAGAGCTCACGTCCTCTAGTTGTGGTGTCCTGATAAAAGAGAGTGCTCTGCGACAGCTCTATTAAGGAAAGAGGAGCTTGGTGTCTGGTAGTTTATTAGACCTCAATTCTTTCCTTTCCTTTCCTTTTATTTATTTTAAATAACTGAAATTAGATTTTTTTTCATAAAAAAAGGCATTTTTAGATTTTCTAAGCTTTGCTTTCTGCAAAGAAATTGTGCCAATGAAGTTGTAAACTGAGAGCTGGGATTTCTCTGAAACTTTTACTCTTTTTGGTCTATGTTTCTAATAATGATCCTGTGGACACCTCCTGAGTACAGCGGGGTTGTTGCCTTCCATTGTCTGCTGGTTAATGAGTTCAAAATCTCTGAAGTTGGGATAAGAGTTGCCTCAGGTGCCGAGACTGTATTCTAATCGGTTTAATATCCATCACAGTAGAACCATACTTACTGTTAGCAACCAGTTCATTCATGCGAATGTAACACGGTCATAGGGAGTGAGGCAAGAGTGACAGCCTCCCACACTACCTCCGAGGAAGTTTCTGTATTCCCTACAGAGATCAACAGGAAGGAAGTACTTTTTTTTTTCTCCAGGAATACTGGGGACTGAACATGAAGTCTGGATTCACTAAGTGGCTTTGTGGCTAGGAGGACATGGGATGGCCGAGGACACTGAGATGATAGATCTCAAAAGATGTCACAAGTGTCAGAAGATGCTAAATGAGCATCATTATAAAAAGGATGCCGGCGAGACAAGACCTGCCCCCAGGATTGTTACAGAGGAAAGGAGCTGTGTTTGTTCACTGTCAAGTAAAACGCCCTTCTTACTTAGTGCAGTGGTAGGATTTCTAGTTTCCAGTTGTATATATGTTCAAATTTAATTAAGAGAAATTTAGACTCTTCGGGTAAACAAATTCAGGCAAACACTGAAAGTTGCGCATCGTGGTATTAGTGGGCCCATTTTTTTTTTTTTAAATTTTAATCTGACTAAATACTTTGCCCTTTAAATTTATTTTTATTTTTGGGATAGAGTTTCAGTATGTAGTCCTGGCTTTCCTGAAGCTCACTAAGTAGTCTAGGCTCGCCTGGAACTTACAGGGATCCTTCTGCTTCTGCTTCCTGAGTGCTAGGGCTAAAGGCATAAGTTACCATGCTCAGCAGATGCCTTGCATTTTATCTTGGTATTTTAAACTTAAAGTACAGTGAAGGTTACTTGAGTCAACAAAAAAGAGGAAGGCTTTTTTTGGTCTTATTGGGCATGTACTTTCAAAAGAAAAGGTCGGACTATATTTCATAGCTTGAGTATGTATGTGTATTTGACATAGAGCCAGTAGGAAATGACCAATCTATCTTCCTTCTTGGAGCCTGCCAGTGGGACCCCCCGACTCACACACACACACACACCAAGATTTGAGATGCTGTAATACAGGTTAACAGGGGAAGTAGGAAGGCAAACCTTATTTCATAACTAAAATCTTAGATACTCCTTTAGTTGCTGCATCATCATCCTTAAGAGGTCGTTGAGTCTCATTATGCCACCATGGTTCTGAGAAGTTCATGTGTCACTGTGGGAAGTAGCCATTTTGCTGTGTACAGAAGCCTTGTTTAATAAAAGCAACCCGTTAGCCTCTTTTGGTTCATGATGGTGAAGAACTGCCTTTTACATTCAGAAGTCAGCAAAACTCATTCATGCACGCAACCAAACACCTATGCCGTTCCTTCCTCTCCAAGCTGAGCAGAGTGGGCAGGATAAGCTGTGCACAAGGGGAGTGCCATGTGCTGAGAAGAGCTTCCCGCATGACTGAGCTTCACTCTTAACTCTGGACCTGATGAAAAGAGCGCTTGTAAATGCAGATCTTATTCATATTATTACCAATAAATAAACAGAAAGGAACTGTTCGGTCTTTTCTCAGCAGGCAGGGACTTAAGTTTTTAATATCTTCAGCAGTGGGGAGGTACAGTAAGTGCCACACACTCAAATAATACTTAATGGAGCACATACTGCCTTTGAATGGGTTCCTGCCTTCAGGGCATTGAGTAGACTATGCATTCTGAATATGCCACCCCTTACTCAAATGGTAATGGTGCCCATGTAGAGAATGTGGTTCAGGAAACTACAGAGCCTACAGAATACAATTGTCAGGCTTCCCAGTAGGGAATCTTGCTCAGGCTCTGGAGGCAAAGGGCAAAATGAGGGTAGAGACTGGTCAAACTGAGGCAGGCCATTCCAACTGCCCTGTGTTCTAAAAGTGATGTGGTCTTTCATACTGAAGTTGATTAAACTCCGTAAGTTGCCTTGAGAATTTTGAAATAAATTGCACACTAAGGCTACCCTTTGGAGACTCCGAATTCTGTGTGTTGAAGTTCACCAGAGCTTCAGGATTTTCCTCAGAGCTCATGGGAAGTGATCCTAACACAGGGACCTTGAGAACCACTAAACTGTTGTTCTAGACAGACAGCTGGGATTCCAGGCAGTAGTGTGAGCTCTGATTGGACTGAGAGATGAAGTTATGCTATTACTTTGACTTTCTTTTGGTTCTACACTCCTTATTTCCTGTGGAAAGAGGGAACACATGTGCCTCTAAAGCATTTTTATCTATTTTTATTATTTTATCATCCTAGGGTAGGTGACCAGTTTTCTAACAATGGAAAGGAGTTTTCGTTCTGAGATGCGAGCATTGCTGGCATTCCTTTTCTCAGTTTTAATGTAAAGCCTCCCTTCTAGGAGGGAATTTTTATATCTCTCAGGAAGGTGTAGCACCAGCAGCATTTGAATGGTGTTTTTTTTTTTTTCTTTCCCAGCTGTCTTTATTGTGACTCAGGCGGCCGCCTTCGCCTGCAAACCCACTGGTGAAGGATAAAAGCAGCTTTCTTAGCTCCTCCCCACACTTCGAGAAAGTCACTGTGTGGCTGGAGTGCGAAGCTCTCCTTGGCAATCTGTGTGGATGGTTGCACTTCTTGTATGCTTTTTAGGGCTGAGTGTCTTAAGGTTTGTTTAGGAAGAATGCTATTAGCTTAGGCCTGGGCATCCACATTGTCTCACGGTGTTGACCTCAGTTCCAACCAATTTAGACCATGTCTTCTTGTGACTTTGGTCACATGGCTAACAGGTGATGACGGACACAGACTACTGAGGATTATACTGAGGATGCCAGTTATTAGTTTTCCTCAATGATGTTGCTTGGATCTCAGGTAACTCACATTTATAAGTGACGTTTTATTTGCTATGTGGGAACAGGCGATCACTGCAGTGTATACTGTTGTGAGGGATAAAACTCAATTTATTTGGGGGAGAAGCATGATCCAGCAATTTAAATTTTTCAGTGTGAAATTTCTTACTTCTGAAATAGAAGCTAGGTTTGGAGTGATGCTTTGTGGTTACCGTGATACTTCCTGAATTCCATCTTGTTCTTTTTTTTTTTTTTTTTTTTTTTGAAACTAGAAATTCAGGAAGTACTACAAAGTTTCTGAAGACTAACTACCCTGTGTGCCTTTTGAGATAAATCACCAGTTAGAGCACAGTCAAGAGAAATTCGAGAAAATTTGAATTAATTGAAAGAATTAACTGCTCTTTTCCTTAGCCGAATTCTAAGCCTGGATAGGATACATCGATGGTCTTGCTAGTATTAGTGGAGTGGAGTGGGTTAGAACTGTATTTTATATATTTATATATTTATTTGTTTTTGATTGGGGGCGTGCACAAATCAATAAGGATCACAGGGCACCACGTTAATGACAAGTCACAGGAGGCGGCTTCACAAAGGTTGTGAAAACTAGTCTCTCATTGCAGGAATTAGGTTGGGCCACCCGTGGCCCCCCTTCTCAAACACAAATATTTTCATATAATAAAAGCCTGTTTCCTTATGCTTATAACTCAGTCTCCATTCCTGCAACGCCACCATTTTACAGGGACTTGCTGCGAAAACTCCTCCCTGCTTTGCAGCTTTTTTATCTCTCCAGCATTCAGTCTTACAGAGGTGAAGAATCCCTCTGGGGTGTCACTCTGGGTGAGAGGGACAAGAAACACCCACTAGGACCCAACCCGGCAGCCAGCGGCCGAGCATGCGCTGAGAGTTTGTGCAGCTGGCCCTGGCTGCCGCGGCTGCCTCGTCCGGACTTGGCGAGGACTTGGGAGGGACAGCGGCGTTGGGAGGTGGCTTAGCAGAGACTTTCCAGCGACTGTTGCCCGGACTTTTTTTTTTTTTTTTTTCCTTTTCTTTTTCCCAGGAGTCAGCGACAGCGACGGCTGGGGAGAGTGAGACAAGGAAGCGTCTGCTGCTGGAGCCAATGCCGCCCTTTGGCTCTCCGGGAGGAGTGTCCCTGCCCGGATGAGTGTCCGCCGTGTGTCCCCGACTGTCCCCCGGTTGGAGCGCGGCTCGGAAGGTGAGTGGCCACAAGTCCTGCATCTCTCCTGCCCACGGTCCCGGCTGCCCGCCGAGTGGCTTCTGCGCTGCGCGGTGCGTCCTGCCGGGGGCGCGCGGCCGCGGTGGCTTTGCTTCACCGCGCGGGCTTTGTGCTCTGCGGGCGGCGGGGACCTCAGGGTCGCAGCGGCATGCGGGGTCCTGAGGTTGGGGGGTGGGTGAATGACCTGACCCGAGTGGGCACAGCTACGCCGACCCTGATTCCCTAAAGTCCTTCCCGGCTATTCGCCACCCCGCCCCAGGCTCATCCATTATTCCCGGACGACCAACAGTGTTTCTCACATTCTCCCAAAGAAACCCTAGTCCCGGGGCGGAATCCTAGTTTTGCGCTGCGCCCCCTGTAGTCCCCCGAGTTCACACCCGGGCCGTGCGACCGGGTGGTGGGGTGGGGAACGCTGAACTGGGACCCAGAAATTGTCCTGAAGAGAAGGGCACACTAGCTTGCTCCAGTTCAGTGTGTGTGTGTGTGTGTGTGTATGTGTGTGTGTGTGTGTGTGTGTGTGTGTGTGTTGGGACAGATGCCCGTGGCATCTCTAGAGAGGTAAAGGTTTGTAACCTTTAGAACAATTGCTGTCCCTTGGGAAGGAGCAAAGAAAATCTCATTAGAATGCAGAAGACCGCGCGGCAGGTCTCCTGGGAACCACTTTACTGTACACCTTCATTCATCCCGAGAGTCAGCCTTTTCTCTGGGCAGCAGGTGTTATCTGAGGCCAGGATAGAACTTTTAGGTGTCTTGTTCCCTTTATGACTCTAACAAATAAGTTTTGATGGGACCATGTCTGGAATAGAGGAGGCTAGGGGATTCTGGGACCCATCTGAGGTTTAGCAGAATACTAGGCTGGCAGAGGGGTGCACTTGTTGTGAAGTTAGTTCTCTGCTTGTGCCCGTTCCTGCAGATCGCGGCTGCTTTGCCTGGATCGGTAGGATGTGGTGAAAGGATGGGGCTTTTCCCTCTGGAGATTCACAATGGCCAGAGAAGATTCCGTGAAGTGTTTGCGCTGTTTGCTCTACGCCCTCAACCTGCTCTTTTGGGTAAGCCTTCAGTTCCACCATCCCAGCAGTTGGGCATGGCTGGACCCGGTTTTCGGCACCACCAGAGAAGGCGCCAAAGGGCATGGCCCAGCATTAATTAATGACGTGAGATCACATCCTCTGTTTTGCAGAGAAGTAAAATTTGACCTTCTTAAAATGTCTTTGATCTAGCTCAAGTTCCACGTGTAATTAGAAAAAAAGTCCGCCCCTGTATACAAGTGCCAGTAACATTAGACATGAAGCTAATCTAAGGATATAAATAAATGCACGCTCTTGTACTGGTAGATAAGAGAAATATGGCATAGTACCTGCGAACTGCTAGTTTGCAGGACTTTTAGATAACTGTGCAAGCCTTACATTTTTTCTTTACGTCATAATTCTGTGCCTATATAAATTGGTTGCGGCAAATGGTGTTAATATGTCTTTAGAAGGATTCATACCTAGAGATCCTATCAAAAGTCTGGATAGGTTTATAAATGCCATACACTCTAAAAGGTGGTTTTCACATAACTATTGCTAAGTTGGGATGTTTGAGGAATTTCATGTATGCTTTTGGAAAAAAAAACCCAGTCATTTAAGGAAACAAAATACATAAAATTTAACAAGCCCGTGGAAATTATGCTGTGTGAGTTAGCGACACTTCATGCTTACATAAAGTGTTCATAGTGTATTATTTATAATGCTTAGGAAGATATAAATATTACAACTGTGAATGCTACTTCAGAAGGCTGTCGTGCTTAAGCAAATTCCCTTTTGCCGCTTTTGTTTCCTTTCAGTAATTTATATTCACCATTTCCTGCTGGAAATTTTAGCGTGCAGTTTATTTATTTCTCTGTCTGTCTGCCGTCTGCCTGGCATTGGCTAGTCCCCCTTCTTTCCCAGCAGCGATTATATCTGGCCTCTAGAGGATGGTATTCAAAAAAATGTTCCTTTACGATTGACACCATTCTAAGATGACAAATTAAGTGGTTAATAAGTCATCTGAACAATATCCAAAATGACAACTTTTAAAAAGTCAGGGCGAAAATTAGAACGCTGAGTAGTCCCATTTGGCATTTGGAAGTAGAAAAATCACCAGTTGTTCTTATGTCCTTTTCAGTTCTAAAAGGACACATTTTAACGAGGGTCACCAAATTACTGGTTTAGCTATTTGCTCTTAAGACTATGAACTCTGTTTCTCCTGAAATGTGTAATTATTACTCTTATTGCTAGGTTTTGACTTGCCTACATTATGCTTTCGGGTGACAGATTTGTTACCGTTACAGTTCCTCACGAAGGGACCTTTATGGAAGACCCAGTTGAACTTCCTTTCTTTGTAAATCAGGAAACTGAGAGCAACTTAAATGGCATGGCAGAGGTCAGCTATTCCGATGGTGGTGCCAGGGACAGGGCTAAGCTCCCTGGCACCTACACGATGCCTTTAGCACGCAGGGTTTATTCACCTCTGAACCTCCCCATTAACAAGATCTTCTGTTTGTTGGTCTATAAAAAAAAAAAAATAAAGCAATGGAGAAATTACTTATTTTTTTTCCCAATTCAGGAAAATACCCAAATCATTCTGCAAAGGCATTGCTCTTCTGAATAATGAAATCTGCTTACCCCCACCCCACCCCTTAACTGTTTGCAGGCCCCTTTATGCTACCAGGGACTTCAAAATGTTATTCTTTTACTGTTAGCCTGTCCTTCATCTTTCTGACTGTAAGAGTATGGATGTTATGATTTGCGTGTTTATATAGATGGCTACCTGCTCTGTCTCCAGCCCTGTTCTCCCCGCTCGGGTCTCTCCTCTGTAACAATCCATCACATCTCCCTGTGCTCTAATTTGAGTTTCAGACAGAAGTGCCATTTACTTTTGCTACCCAAATGTTCATATTCGTTCATGATTTGTTTCATTAATTTTGTAATTGTTGTTGACATGAGATTGTCTATACCAAAACGCTTGCCATGAGAGCACAAAGACAGAAATGCAGCTAACATCCATAAAATAGAAAAAATAGAAAGTAGCTCCGATGTGGTTATTGGGTATTTACCAGGTAAATTGAGTGCCTTGGCTTTCTATCTTTAAAATAGATAAAAGCCCCCCCCCCCCATATTTTTAGGGGTGTGCTGAGCGTGCAGAACAGTGGCACTTAGTTTAGAAGCCAGGTGGCCAGTGCAGTTACCACAGTCTTGCTAATCTCCTCAAGGAGACAAACAGGAAGTGGATTGCTACCCTTCCTGGTAGTAGGAGTGGTGATTATTATTGTCCTGATTAGAACCGCTGTTCCTGCCACCTCCACCACGGTACTTTTGATCCAGTAACCTTGCTTCGGAATTCTAGCTCAGAAATAAAGCCATCGATATACCTTATTCTTTGTACAAGAATATCTGTTGCTACCTTGTTAGGAACCCTGTGCTTTTCAATTTTAACCCATTTGAAAATTTCAAGTTTTGTGATATTATTACTTCACTTTTTACTTCTTCCAATACTTGCAAGGATTGCCACCTGCCTATCTACTTGCATATATTTTGGATGCACCTTCCCTCCTGTATTTATATTCATTACCTGCTTTGTTCTTATTGAGGTTTCCTCTTGCTTGTTGATTTTATCTGTTGTTGCACAGCAGTGAAATCTTCCTAGTTCCTTTACAAAATTTTTCTGTAGATGGGTTTTTCTCTTATAGTGCTAACACTTTCTTTTTCTTGGTGAAGGATTCTTTTTTCCTTGTAGACTTTAAGAAGTTTTTTAAAGTGTGTGTGTGTGGGGGGGGGGGGGTCTGACAGTGCCCTGGACTGTGGGTGGATATCACAGGATGATTCTGTAGACCCTTCTTCCACCTGTATGTGGATTCAGTTTAACTCAGGTATTTAGAGGCTTGTGTGACAAGCCTTTTCTGACTGAAATATAGTAGCGCTGGTCCCGAGGTTTTTTTCTTTTTTCTTTTTTTTTTCACTCACTTAAAAATATCCATGGTGCCAGGAGTGACGGCTCATGCTTGCAATCCTGTGTCAGGAAGGCTGACACAGGAGGATTGCTGTGAATTAAAGTTCAGCCTGTTAGGTAATGAAGTCTAAGCCAGTTCTTGCGTACAAAATAAAGCTTTGTTTCAAAAATCAAAACAAACAGCAGATAAACAATAACAAAAAATAAACCTTATTAAATATTTGTTAAAATCTTATGAAATAATTATTCCTACTTAGGGAAAGTTGGCAAAATCTTCTAGAGAGAAACAAAAGCAAAATATTGTCCTTTTCTGGCCAGCTCACTCTAGTGTTCATCACTGGCCCATTCACGGGCTTCTCTCTCTCTGTTTCTCTCTCTCTCTCTTTCTCTCTCTCTGTTTCTCTCTCTNTCTCTCTCTCTCTCTCTCTCTCTCTCTCTCTCTCTCTCTCTCTCTCTCTCTCTCTCTCTCTCTCTCTCTCTCTCTCTCTCTCTCTCTCCCTGTCTGTCTGTCTGTCTTTCTCCCTCCATCTCTCTCTTTCTTCTTCCTTTTTTTCTTTTTAGATAAAGAAAGCAGTGCTCAGATGAGCCCAGTAACTCGCTAGGAAGCATCAGAACAGGAAGCCCAGGTCCAGCTTTGTTTATTTATCCATATGTAGAAAATAGAAAAGTTATCCTGCTGGGAACCACGCTGAATGTATCCGCAGTGATGTCAAGTGAACGTCCTCGGTGGGGAAGGCTTGGCTATCCACCTGCTCGTTCCAAGCCCTCCAGACCACAGAATACATGGAAATCACCCGAGCACGCTGCTAAACTTCGGGCTCAGCTTCCCTGTGTGCCCTTGTGTACATGCATGTGTACCTGTGTGTGTGTGTGTGTGTGTGTGTTCACACGTGTGAGCTGAAATTGAACTGAGGGCTTCTGACATACCAGGCGAGTACTCTGCCACCAAGTTAGAACGCTAGCGCTGATCACACTAATGAAGTTTCTCTGTCACATGATTGGTCCGAGTCAGTCTCCTTCTTCGCCAGTCGGAACAAGGGCTGGCTTCTCATTATCACTGGCATTACAAGCAAGGTACACGGATGTGGTATCTGCACCCCATTCCCTAAACCAGACTTCACATCCTGACTGTAGACAGGGGGCTTATTCCTTTCTCTCTCTTGTGAGTTGGCACCCTTTTCCTTGATACCTAATAGGGCTCCAAAGTAGAACCTTCTACACTTCACATTGTAAATTGACATACTCATACCTTTTATGTAATGTGTTGGCATTAGTCCCCTTCGCCTTACACTGAAAGGTTTTTTGTTTGTTTTTTGTTTTCTGAAGAAGAGAACCATACATCTTCATTGCGAAAACATAGACATCCCATGTAATTTTTGTTTTGCTATCCTCGGAATCAAAATCTTTAAGGAAAAACGTAGATTTTGAGTATTGAACTTTTGTTAAGTGTGAGGTGTCGCCGTGTTTAAGAGGAAGCAACCCACAGGTCCTCAGACCCCAGTGCTCTCTGTGGAGCTGTCACTGTGACTTGCCATCTGTTGAGTGTCTTCCAAGTCATGAAGAAGCTTGACCAGGGACAAAGGACAGACTCTGGATGACTCTGATAGTTGCCTAATATGTTATGGGTGTCGGGCAGCTGTGTGGGGAGCTGCACAGAGGGAGTGACGGACACTGGATCTCTGCAGCGGAGAGCTCTCTGGAGATGATGCTTCTTACTGCACAAGATGCCGGAGGGGTGGAGATTATTTTTGTCTGAAGCATCACAGTCTTCCCGTTCAAAGGACACATCACTTAAATGAAAGCTTTCTTCTGTTTTAAGAATGGATTCTGTAACTTTCTGATTTGGGCATTATTCTTGGTTGATAGGTGCCTGTTATTATAAAGAGGAATAAGTAGGATTTTTTTTGAAAGTTTGTGAAAATGACAAACACTTCGTATTTGTTTGTAGTTTTCTAAAAGCATGCTACCCTTTCTGTAACATTTAGCTCCCGTTTCAATTACCGTATATGTGCCGTTGGCGTTTGCTTACCATTTTAAAAGGTGCTAAAGGTGAACTTTCTCTGATTAACCATGGAAA